TTATGAAATGGACAAAGTCCGACATTTTTATGCTTATATCTATAAAAAAAAAAGAATGTATAATCATAAAATGTCTTAAAATAATTGTCTGACTTTGTCCATTTCATAATATATATATATATATATATATATATATATATAGGTTTCCTTAAAGACGACTGACAAGGAATTGCGATAAAGCCTTATATCATATTTTTCTTGAATTTGTAGAAGAGATTTCCTTTTGGGACATAGAATGTGTAAGAACTAAGTAAAATGATCTTATACGCACTATTTCTCTAGAAGGAATTTCTTCTACAGATGCAAGAAAATTATGAAAAAAGTTTAATCGCAGCACCTTGTCGTGATAAATGAAATCTGAGAGGTTTATTCCCCCGAAGGTCATGTACTTACAAATATCAGGGTACTGTAGACAGGTGGATGCCTAATTGCACAATTATTACAAAAGAAAATAATTTCAAAAGTTTATTGAGCACAAACTATTTCAGATTCCTTTTCTTCTGCGTGCCGTGTCCCTTCAAGACGTTGGCAATCATGGCTCTCCACAATTTCCCCTTCTTTGTAGGTCTTAATAAATTTTCTTTTTGTTACCTGTCCTAAACCTTGCGCCCAAATCCATTTACTCAACCTGTCTAGATAGGTTATGTGTTGTTTTCCTCTACCCTTCTTGCTTTCAATCTGCCCTGTGAGTATTAACTTTTCCAAGCCCTCTTTTCTCATTATGTCCCCTAGAAATTTCAACTCTCTCTTCCTGATCTTAAGTGTCCTTATTGTTTCCATTTTCTCTAAAACTTTCTCGTTGCTCACATATTCGGTCCATTTCATTCTCATCATCGTTCTGTAGAACCACATTTCTGGTGCTTCAAATTTCTTATTCATCGGTAAGAATATTGTCCAGCATTCACTTCCATATAGAAGGACTGATATTGCATAATAGTTCAGTACTCTTTTCTTTGTTTCTAATGAATTTTGTCTGTTTCTTAATAGTCTGCTTTCGGATTTCAGTGTCGAACTTTCCGTCCTCTGTTAAAACATTTCCCAGATATTATATTTGTGTACTTGTTTGATTTTGGTATCTCCAATTTGTAATTTGTATGTTAGGCTGTTACATTTACAATCGTTTTCTTCTTTTATGTGCCGTATTCCTTCAGAAGGTAGGCAATTATAGCCCTCCACATCTTCCTATATCTTCATAAGTTTTGCCTTTTTCTTATTTCCCCCACACCTTGTTCTACCATCCATTTACGTTACGCTCTGTTTTCCTCTGTCCTTCTTTCCCTCAATCTGTCCTGTGAGTATCAGATTTTCCAAACTCTCTTTCCTCATTACGTGCCCCAGAAATATCTCTTTCTGGTGTTAACCACTCCACCATCAATCCCAAGAAATATCATGGCTAACAAACATACCGACGCTTAAAATGTAATAGTTTTATTAAAAAAATCTCGAAGTTAATTAGGGTAGGCCTCATATGTCGTACGTTTAGTAATGAACCAAAAACACTTACCGCAAAGCCAGTTTCTCCATTGCCAGCGAGAATTCGACAAGCAGTTGTGCAGGATTTCTGAAAATGCTATTGAGAAAGTGTTTTTGTATGACGAGATTACTGTTGTGAAATGGCAATTTAAAGACGTTTCGGAAATCACCGGTTGGTAATTTCTCTACGATTGACACAAAGGTGTTTGCGTAAAGGTTACAAATTTGAGGAGCCAATGGTATTTAAAGAAAACGTGAGAGTACTGACGAAATGAGAACAAATTGAGTATCTGCAATAAACTTTCATAGTTTACCACCAAAACTGTATATCAACCGTATCAATATATTTCTTTTTGAAACGGTCAATTTGTTGTAATCCCTGTGTATATACACTTTTGAAGTGTTAAACCGTTTTATTCTCATACAGATATCGCAATTGTCGTCAAATTATACACAGTTATACCAGAAGTCATGGGATAATATAAAGTACCTTCTCACCTGGCAAGATGAACAAATCGATGTGACATTGATTACACAAGTGGCCGAAAGATTTTATGCCGTCTCGATAGCTGTTCACAGTTTTCCCGGTGCTATATTTAATTTGAAGAAAAAACAAACCACTTTAAGGCGCCATTAGTTATAATTTATTTCACCAGAGAATTTTATTTTTCTCTGGATCTTCAGACTTCACTTTCAAGAGATGAAACGAAAAATGAATTTAAAATTTACACTTTTGACGGGCAGTATTAAGCTTATATAAATTGACATAGAAGGTGGTGAGGAATAGTGTGAGAGACATGGCAGAGTTTAGAGAGGGAGAGTTTTAAAATTTATTTTTATTATAATACTTAATATTGAGGAAGAAGGGGGTAAGGATCAGACATTACCTATTTAATCAGTCAACTCAACGGAAATGATATGGGAAAAAGGGAAAAAGGGGGAAAAGGAAAAAAAAAAAAAAAAGGGAAGTAAATGAATATATATATATATATATATATATATATATATATATATATATATATATCATTAGATATGATAAAATATAGTTCTAGGGCATGCTATATTTATGGTTTAAAATGTTCAATATGAGGGATGCAGTGTATATGCATATAAAATGGACATTGAAGTCAACACCCAAGCGGCAGTCTGTTAAATGCTAAACGCAATCGTCGGGCCTGATGATTGCATTTTAGCCTGAAACAGACTGCCGCTTCTGTGTGTTGAATTCAATGTCCACTATATATATATATATATATATATATATATATATATATATATCAAAGTGTAGGAGAACGAACAGTAAGATTACGGCGTCAGAACAAAACAGAGCTCAATACACAATGTAGAGCCATAAATTTTTTCCCTTCCTTTTCGTTCGCCCACCACTACTTAATGCATTAGGTTCCCTTCCGTCTCTTCATGTAAATTCTAGGAGACATTTTATGAAAATTTCCAAAGAACGGAAGTGGGGTGATATTTGCTTCGATAATTGTATTATGAATAAAAGTTTTTAGTAACACCGTGATTCCCCACCTGATGAGACGTTTAAAAAGGTTTTCCTTTTTTGACGTTGAAACAAAAATGTACAATTTTGTAGTTGATATATGCATGTTCTAATGTAACACTGTATAAGATAAATATATATATATATATATATATATATATATATATATATATATAAAAGGTAACTTCATACCCATGCAGAGTGAAAAACCCTACAAAAGGCCACTTCTTTAATCTACCTAATTATACCTTTTTAGTTTCTTGTGCAAACATATACATATATCTACCTTTTTGATTCCTGTGCAAACGAAACCTATGACTCTATTTCTGACTCTCTTGTAAACCCACCCTGAGTCTACCCGTTTTGACTGTCCTGCAAACCAAGCCTGTATCTAGCACTCTGGCCGGCGTGCACGTCTGTATCTACAAATCATTAAAACAACAGAATTCACCATACAAAAAAATAAAAAATAAAAAAAAAAAAATGGTAACATTTGATATATCGTAAAACAAAGCATATGCATAGGAACTCTGACACTTGTCTAACTCACTTATCCGGAATACTTTGTTTATATGGAAAAGAATTTATAAGTTAAACTCATAGACTGTGATATAAGAAAGAGAGTCTTTTTCATCGTAATTTAAATATTTTTTTTCTGGTTTTGCATTATTTAATCCTCTGTGTCTAGATTATCCGACGCTCGTGTTTAATTGATGTATAAATCAATATCAAAATTCACAGAAGCAAAGATTAAGTAAGTAAGACAACTAATCAAGATAGCTACTTAATATGAAAATTCCGTCAGATGATTGCTTTAAAAATCATTTTCATTGCAATATCCGTCACTTTCAAAACAGCAGCATTACTTTATACTGTCTTATTCAAATTAGATTCATTAATGAAGTAGTTTATTACTCAACATATAATGAGGACAATAATTTGGCAACAACAACAAGGGAAAAACAACCAAAGCAACAATCAAAGAAGCAGACGATTATATCCGAATCTGATGTATTACAATACTTTGTTATTTATATTGAACATTTTACTATCATTTCGTTGTTAGTCTGCTGATCCATTTTTCTCTTCGTTCGTTTACACGATATCTTGAAAAAATTACCTTTTTTATCATTTTCTTCTATTTTCTATTTAATTCCAATTCTTTTATGTGTGTGTCTTTATCTGAATTTCTTCGTTTCAGAATAAGACTTTCGATCCGGTCTTTACATCTCTCCGGACATTGATTTATAGAGGCTCTACATTATTCCACCTTTGCCTCCAACTCTTTCTCCTCTTCCACCTTGTGAGAAACATTCGCTAATTGAGCTTCATTCGATCTTCTCTTTTTACCAGCTTTTCCTCCGAATGTCCATATCTTTCTTTTTACTTCGTCTATACGTTTCTTTATTTCTTTAAGAATCAGTCATTTTTGTAACATAATCTCCTTACTGCTTCACAGTTTCATCCACAACGAAAATGAAAAAAAAACCCTGATAAAACGAAACAAAAGAAAAGGAAAGAAAAATGAAGAAAAAATAAAACAAGAACGTCTTTTCCAGTTCGAGAATTTACGAAAACTTCTGCTTCGTTTTATTTATTAGAAAAAAAAAAATACAAAACAACATGGCGGCCTGATTTATTTGTAATTTATGGACAAGACGGAAGGATATTTTGGGGTGAGGTAGAGGAGGGAGTAGACGTTTTAAGCGAGAGGCATGTGTGTCTTGCTTGAGGGTGATAGAGATACGGTTCGTCATGAGCAATTGAGAGCGCATACAATTGTCTTTTTAGCCGCGTGCGTCTGTGTGTGACTAAAAGAGAAAAGAAGGGAGTGGCAAAAGTCAACATAGGAAAGATAGTAAAAAACATTAGAAAGGCGAAACAAGATGGGGAAGATGAAAAAGGACAAAGAGAAGACGAGATAAAATAAAAAATAAGGTGATCAAAAGATAAAAAAAATGAAGAAAAGTGAGAAAGACTTAAATAAATGAAGTAAAAATGTGGGAAAGTGGAATTAACCGAATCAAAAAGAAAGAAAAAAGAAAGAAAGGAAGGGAGAAAGGAAGGCAAGAAATAATATTAAAAGGGAGATAAAAAGGAAAAGAAAGAAAGAAAGAAAGAAAGAAAAAGGGAAGTAAAACAATAGGATAGAAAGAATAACGGGTAATAAAAAAGGAAGAAGGAATTGAAAGAAAATATGTAACAGAAAGAAATAAATAAAGGGAAGAGAAAGAAAGGAAGAAAGAAAGAAAGAGAAGAGAAAAAAGAAAGAAGGAAAGAAAAAGAAAGAAACACACAAATTAAAAGAAAGATGTAAAAGAAAGAAAGAAAGAAAGAAAGAAGGAAAATAGAGAGGCAGAAAGTAAAGAGAACTAAAGAAAGAAAGAAAGAAAGAAAGAAAGAAAGAAAGAAAGAAAAGGGAAGAAAGAAAAAGGGAAGTAAAACAATAGGATAGAAAGAATAACGCGTAATAAAAAAGGAAGAAGGAATTGAAAGAAAAAATATGTAACAGAAAGAAAGAAAGAAAGAAAGAAAGGGAGGAGAAAGAAAGAAGGAAAGAAAAAGAGCAAGAAACAAACAAACACAAATTAAAAGAAAGATGTAAAAGAAAGAAAGAAAGAAAGAAAGAAGGAAGGAAGGAAGGAAAGAAAGAAAAAGGGAAGAAAAACAAGAGAATAGAAAGAATAACGGGTAATAAAAAAGAAGTAATTGAAAGAAAAATATGTAACAGAAAGAAAGAAAGAAAGAAAGAAAGAAAGAAAGAAAGAAAGAAAGAAGTAAAGAAAAAGAGAAAGAAAAAAAAGAGATACACACAAATTAAAAGAAAGATGTAAAAGAAAGAAAAAGAAAGAATGGAAATGGAGAGACAGGAAGTAAAGAGAAAGAAAGAAAGAAAGAAAGAAAGAAAGAAAGAAAGAAAGAAAGAAAGAAAATAGAGATGCAAAAAGTCCAGAGAACCAAAATAGAAAAGAAAGAAAGAAAGAAAGAAAGAAAGAAAGAAAGAAAGAACGACTGTACGCAGCCAGAAAGAAAAAGAAAGAAAAATGAAAAGAAATATTTAAAAAATATGCTGTATAAGTTTGGGTGATTTTTTGCCAAAATGTGCGATTTGAACAATTGTAGTTCAGTTGGTAGTGAAAAGGGCAAAAGCAATGAGGATCTCAAGAACCTGAGATAAGTCAACAAACATCAGTGGACAATGCAGGAAAATCATTCAAATTAATAGCAGTGGAAATCAAAACAAATTCTTGCTTATATCACCGCTAGTAGGTCAAAACAGAAACGAACCAGTGTGGATCGATAAATTAATCGATCAATCGATTGGTACGGACAGATCTTTGCTAAGGTTTGGTTCAATTTTGCCACAGTGAGACGATCTTATAGGGATTGAATTCACAAAACGTGTCTTGGGAGACAAGTTCGTTAACCACTTCACGTGAACACGAAGGAGGGATAAAATGGAATCGGAAAACAATTAATGGAGGTTTTTTTTCGTTTTTTTTTTTTTTTTAGAGTTTCTTTCCTTATTTGCTATAGAAATTATATTTAGTGGCTATACGTGTTTAAGTAGACATCTTTGTTTTATAAACCCGGGACATTTTCGTTGGTGAAAAATATAATGTTTAAAAAAACAGAGACGTCAACACAAACAGGTGTATCCACTAAATAAAACATATATTAAAATAAGGAATAGATAGATAGATAGATAGATAGATAAGAACAGGCTGCGATAGATAGATAGATAGATAGATAGATAGATAGATAGATAGATAAGAACAGGCTGTGATAGATAGATAGATAGATAGATAGATAGATAGATAGATAGATAGATAAGAACAGGCTGCGATAGATAGATAGATAGATAGATAGATAGATAGATAGATAGATAGCAATAAGCAAAATGGGAGAGATAGATAGATAGATAGATAGATAGATAGATAGATAGATAGATAGGAACAAACTGAGATAAACACACACACACATATATGTATATAGATAAATAGGTATATAAAATAACATGTATAAAAATATAATAAAAACATAAGGAAAAAGACTGAGAATGATATTTACTTGGGTTAACTCAGCACGGCACACACACACACATACACACACACACACACACACACACACACACACACACACACACATATATATATATATATATATATATATATATATATATACTGTGCAATATATATATACTGTGAACCCCTGAGATAATATTTAAAATAACTGTCACTTTTTCCGGGTAATCAATAAATCTTAATTAAACTTCGTTAAGAAAAGCCTTTGTTAAATCAATTACAACCCCTTTCAAGGATTGTTATCAACCTGGAATAAAAAAATATTAATTAAAAATTAAGACGTTCAAAAGTAAGTGAACACTAACATTAAACTCTGTATTTTGCCTTACATGGTTGTAAAAAAAAATTGTGCCAATGTAAAATCAAAATGACACGTGTTCGTTATTTTATAAGCTGTGTATACTGCAGTCAAACAATATAACTCGTTGCGTATGCAAAAATAGGCAGTTAGAGACTAAATTTCAAAAAATATATATTCAAAGATCAAAAGAACTTCCTGAAGCATTAAAAATCGCATAGTTGAAACCTATAATGATGAAAAAGGCGACAAAAAGCTATCAAAACCATTTTGGGTGCATTTCTCCACCGTGAATTATTTATGAATGGAAGGCGTTTGATATGAAGGAATCATAATCAAGAAGTGGCCGTCCTCGAAAACTAACAGCAAGAGCAAGTTGCCATCTAATTCGGCAAGGCCAGGCAAATTCTGCTGTGTAATTTGAGGTTCTCCGATGCTCACTGGCCAATATCGGAATCAATGTGCATACATCTACAGAGTGACAAAATCTGAACAATGCCGATCTTCATGGTAGAATGCCTATAAAAAGTCACTGCTTACGAAATATCGCAAACATGCTCGCCTCAGCAATGCCAAAGCTCTTAGTAATAAACTAGAAATATCCTGGCAAAATGTTTTATGGCCGGATGAGAACAAACTAGAGATTTTTCGAAGGAACTCATCCTACAACCCCCATATATATATATATATATATATATATATATATATATATATATATATATATATATATATATATATATATCAGGTGTAACAGCAATTATCCAATTGATAGATTAAGCTTTGAACCGTTTTATCTTAGAAATGATTAAAGATATCTTATTGGAATTCTATGAGATTTTTATAACACCACTGAACTCTACTTTGAGCGATAAGAACGTATAATTATTCTCCAAGGTTAACAGAAGAATCGTGATGAAATCGACCATGAACTAAAATGACATGTTTATCATTAATTAATTATAGTTAAGGTTCGGAAGCTCATGAAGAATTAAAAAGTAAGTTCAAATATATATATATATATATATATATATATATATATATATATATATATATATATAATTCCATTTTCAAACTTATTCAAGATGATCTTCGTCCTCTCTAACCTTCTAACTTTCTCTCCTGGAGTAACAAGGTGCCTCAGAGGTTTCACGTACGATTTCATTTTCAAATATTGTACTGTCATAGCTGAAACTTCTCTCTCACATGTCAAAATTTCTTGAGCTCTAAGCTGAAATGAGGATCTCTCTTACTGTAGTGACCTCCTGATCCAGTTTTCCTCTCTGTTCCCTCTTTTTAAACTTATTTACCGTTCTCTTGGTGGTTCTTGAGTGGACTTTGAAGATAGAACACCATCACTTGTTGAGAAGACACCAGAAGTGTTGAAACAAAATGGCTATTTTTGTAGTGATTTTATAACACTTTTTATATTATAATTTTCGAATAAATGATTATATATATATATATATATATATATATATATATATATATATATATATATATAAAATAATGCCTTAAATAGGGTATATTACACATAAGGTGTAGTGTATTGTGACGAGGTAGAAAATGACAGTAGCAGTACAAAAATACACATTGGTTGTACTGTATTGGGCCAATTTAAAAGATTTAGTATAATTATAGGTCGTCATTTAGAATACCCGAACGTAAGTTCAACACGAAGCTAGCAAAATACTAGTTTAGCTTTAGAGAAAAAAACGAACGAGGCCCAGTCGTCAAGAGGAGTATTTTACGAAGAATAAAGGCTGGTAAAGTAAATGGCAACTCGTGTAGGCAGATGTCAGGCGGAGAATTTGGTTATTGCAACATACAAGGGTGGCGGTGAACTGTTGAATGGGAGGTCCGAAATTATGGATAAATGTAGGCACATGGGAAAGTTGACGCTGGGTTCGTACAAGCCCAGATTATGTAGGAGAAATAATTTCTTGTCTGTAATTACTTCTCTGAATTAACCACCTGACAAGACCTTCGAAACCGCGGTAGTATTACATTCAGCGTTTTAATCTTTTTAAGATATATATATATATATATATATATATATATATATATATAAGATATTTTTATATATAGTACTCAATATTAAAAATATTAAAATAATATTAAAAACAGAGCGTTAATAATATTATATGAAAAGATTACTAAACTTTTAAATATCAGTTTTATTACGACTTTGAAGTTTCTTGATAAAATTCCGGTTCTGAACCCATAAAAACTGGAAATTTTACCAAAAACCTCAAAATCGGGATAAAATTGATATTTAAAAGTTAATCTTTACATCAAAGCGAATCGAGTCCTTTCAGTTACTGTGTGTTTATTTAAAAATAAATGCTCTAAAATTCGCCCGATTCCCTGAAGTGCGTCGACGGCTTAGTGGTAGAATCTCCGACTGGTGCCAATTCAGCCGGGTTTCGATCCTAACGAGACATCTAGCCACACTGGAGAGCCGCATGACAATATATATATATATATATATATATATATATATATATATATATATATATATGGGTGTGCGTTTTAATAATGTATATACGATGTGATATCTGATAATTCCCGGCCTTAAAGAAATATATCGCTATTCCAAAAATATTTGTATCCATTTCTCACAAAGCCTGAAGCACAGGACAAGATGCCAATGTTTTTGATCCAATGTCAAGTACGGCGGGACAAACTTGGCATCAACATGATGCATGTTTTCATGAATCTTTACTCGCAGACTACACGACTCATACCACCGATGTATAAGAAAGAGAAACAGATATTAACAGCTAGATCAGCGATGGTGCTTATTTTTTCAGAATGTTTTTATCATTTTGTTGGTGACTGGTCACCATTTTTCTTTTTATGTGCCATGTCCTTTCAGGACGTAGGCGATCATGGCTCTCCACCTCCCTCTATCCCTTGCAGTTCTGTCATCCACTTGCTTAAGCCCGCCAGTTATGTCACGCATTATTTCCCCTTGTCTCTCTTTCCCTCTGTTCGACTCGTGAATATCAGATTCGCCAGACCCTCCTTCCTCATTATGTGTCCCAGAAACTTCAGCTGCCTCTTCCTGATGTTAAGTCTCCTCTTTGTTTGTAACCTCTCTAAAAATCTCATTGGCCACCCTAGATGTTTATAATTTTGAACCGACACTCAACCGGTTGGGAGATACGTGTGAAACCCAAAAAGTATGCTCGATAAAATCCTGACAAAGCATTTCGCTGGCTTCAATAGTTTCATGCAGGACTTGAAGCAGGTACCTTGCCGGAATGTTGTAAAGATTGCAGAGTCGATTCAACACAGCCTTACACCATTTTGCGTAATGAATGAGATGGCTGAACATGTTAAACGAAGTTTCCGATAGCAAGTCGTATGAGTTATTTTAATCGTCTTAATATTTTTTTTATTGATGATGAGTGTGTATTCATCTTCCAACATACTTGTGTATGCCTTTATATATAAAGTGAGCAATGAGTGTGTATCTGCACGCGTGAGCACCTAACTGCATCCCCGCCAACCCTATAGCACTTTCTTTAAATTTATTGTTCTTTTAATTTTTGGGCTGTCTCTTGACTTGGCCCTTCAACTCAATTTCACACTCAAATAACGGAGAAGACTAAATAGTTTCCCGCCATTTCTAATTTATGCCACTCGGAACAGTCACCGAAAAGTGGCCTACAGAACCTAATTAGCTAATTCCAGAAAACGTAATTAATATATATATATATATATATATATATATCACAATATCTGTTTCAATATATATATATATATATATATATATATATATATATAAAATTGTATATATATATATATAAAGAAAAAGAAAGAACAGCATGATATATAATCCGGTGTTCTTATAGATATTTTATTTTACAAAATAGTGCTCAATGTTTTAAAAACCATATTTTAAATCAATTAATTTATAATATATATATATATATATATATATATATATATATATATATATATATATATATATATAGAGAGAGAGAGAGAGAGAGAGAGGTGAAAGGGGGGGGCACGGTGGAGTAATCGATAGCGGCTTGGATTGAGGAATCGGAGAGCCGAGTTCGATTTCCAGTCGAAACCATTACATTCACCTTGGGAAACGTATTAATCCTCTACTTCTCCCTCCAGCTATGGGTAAATAGTAGGACAGACTGGGTTCTATAGCCTTGGTTGGCAACTGGTCTAAGAGAAGGACAACTCTGAATTCAAAACCTACAATGGTTTCTTTGGCGACCCTGTGGCACGTAGTGCAACAAGTCTCTGTATTCGGCTCTGTGTAGATGGCTCTGCACAAAACCTTCACCACTATAATCAAATCTCATGTACTGTTGTCGGGCTGTCAGTTTCCTAGGAACTGGTCTGCTTGAGTCAAGTATATATATATACAAGTATACGATTGGTATACGATTGGTGTAGACAGAATAAAATTCCAATAAACAAAAACATTATTCTTAAAAAATTAGCACAATACAGAGTAGAGCAAATATTATTTATTCAAAAATTATAGTTTTATCACTTCTGGTGTCTTCTCAAGTGATCTTGATCACTTTAGAAGACACCAGAAGTTTGGCC